GGTTGGGTCCTGATTAGCCAGCAGGTGGGTCCGGATCCGGGCCACGGTCCACTAATCCTTGACCTCTGCTATAAAGTCATGAAGAGGCCATATCAGAGAGAAGCAATGCTTTTGTGGAAACACACAAGGAAATTATTAAATGACTAGGATCAAATCTCTTATTGATCCAGTAAAAATGGCTACTACATGTTAATCTTTCTGAGATTTACTGCTTAACTAATTAGTGATATTATCATTTTCTTTTCTAGATTAAATATATATTTTATTCCAGCTCTAGGTAAGAAATTCAGATTTAATTAGATATGTTTGACCTGCTGGACAGACTTTCTCTGCCCTCGCTGATCATCATTCAGATCATGACATATTGATGAATGGAAAAGAGGAAAAATAATTTTGTTTTGTTTAGTCCTGAAAAGAAACGGAAAGAAATCTGCTTTAAATCAGATCTGCATGCGATCTTCAGCCATCTGTGGTCTCCTCACAGTGGGGCCAAAAACTATTTAGTCAGCCACTGATTGTGCAAGTTCCCCTACTTAGAGTAATGAGAGGTCTGTCATTTTCGTTATAGGTACCCTTCAACTATGAGAGACGAAATGAGAAAAAAAAATCCAGGAAATCACATTTTACAATTATTAAATAATTTATCTGTAAATTATGGAGGAAAATAAGTATTTGGTCACCAACAAAGCAGCCAGGTTTCTGTCTCTCACAGACCTGTATCTCCTTCTGTCCTCCACTCATTACCTGTATTACTGCCGCCTGTTTGAACCCATTATCTGTATAAAGACTCCTGTCCACAGCCTCAAACAGTCACACTCCAAACTCAACCATGACCAAGACCAAAGAGCTGCTGAAGGACACCAGGAAGAAAATTGTAGACCTGCACCAGGCTGGAAGAGTTATTTTTTTTCTCATAGTTGAAGCGTATCTATGGTGAAAATTACAGACCTCTCTCCTTATTCTAAGAAGCAGAACTTGCACAATGACTGGCTGACTAAATACTTTTTTGCCCACTGTATAACCCCCTACAAGAGGTGGCTGTTTACAAATTAATTTTAAATTCAAATTTAAAATTTTGAAATATATTAATATGTAATCTTAGATATGCAAGATACATATTTAATACATTTTTTGTCGGATCGGTGACATATTTCCGTCCTAGGGCGCAAAAATTGCCTATTGACTTTCGTTAAAAGTTGTCCATTCGCAGAAGCTCCTCTGTAATACAAAGGTATAGGAAAGCTGACAGGAAGTGCATTTGCTCACCACCTCCCGCCGCAGCGCAGACGCTTTGCGGGTGATTGACAGGGAGTTGCACACGAGCGAGCGAGCGGAGAGAGAGAGACATAGCGAAAGAAACCTCCTTTTCCAGGACCTGGTTTAGCAACTGCATGCAGCTAGGCTAACGCTATATTCTTTAGTCTACTTTTTCTAGATGTTTGTTAATTTGCATAGTTGCTCTGAATTAATCACATCCTCAGAAAATACTTTTTATATAATAAAAAATAAAAAGCTGACTAATAGCTTCCCTGGTATTAAACTGGTTCAGTTTTTTAGGTGTGTGACACTATATGGGACCATCAAAACACTATTTTATCTTCACAAAGCCTCAGAAGGGCAAGATTTATGGACAAAAAGTAAACTTTTATATTTTTAAAGTGATTTTATAATGTTTTTTGTTGTTGGCATTCATATAAATATACTGGTGTGATAACTTAGTATAGGTTTGATTGGTTTTTGGCGTCTTATTTTGAATTTATAGCGCCCCCTGGAGAAAACGCCACCAATGAGAATTCCAGTGCCAAACATCTTACAACCCAAAGCGATGCTGATGGGGCATTCAGGCACCCAAAGGAGAGCTTTCCTACGTCTGCCAGGAGACCCAGACTCACCGTCTGTCTTTGATGAAGGAGTAGTAGTGTCCTGCATGTGCCTGACCGCTGTGGACCACCACACCCACTAGCTCGTAGTTCTCTGAGATCGTAACTTTCTTCCTGGGGGATCCTCCTGAGGTGCCGTCGCCTCTTCCTTCGCCTCCCTCCCCGCTGCAGTCCTGCCGGGCCATTCCGGACACCGTGTAGGGCTCCATGTTCAACACCCAGGGGAACTGTGGTCAAACAAGAAAACAAAGCAAACCAAACAAGTTAAAGATTTTCTGCACTGAAGAAAGGTTTAACGTTATAAGATGTGTTTTTCTGAGTTGGAAAAATGTTTTCTCACCCTGATCTGCTCGTCGTATTTTATCGACCGCCCGCTTTCCCAGTCAAAACCGAACCGCATGAGGTGGATGCAGAGAACGCTGGGGAGAGATTTGATACACGTCCTCTTCACTGTGGTTCTCTGCGGGGACCAGAAATATTTGAGGATAAATCATGTTGGAGAAATGCCGTAAAGTGACGGGATGTGAGGTTAAATCGCACCTTCTCCTTGCACTTTTCACAGTAGTAAGCATTGCTGCCCTCAAGCACCTCCCCCCTGACAAACTGGTCTAAAGAGATCTCCAGACTCTGGCAGGAAGTGACGCCGAGGTTCAAGGCCATGAAAGTTTCCTCACGCTCATATCTGTAGAAGGAAGCATGAGTTTCAGATAAACTGATCAGGCAGAGACGAATAAAAAGGTGAGAAAATGAGCCTCACCTGTGCGGACAATCTTTACAAATCTTCTGGTCGGAATAAATTCCCTGAAACGTGTTTTTAAAGATTTGTTCCCGACCCATTTTCTGTAGGAAAAAGAAACACAGCTTGTTCAAAATCAGACTGAAAATCACCCTGTTAACGATCTAATGATGTGCGATCCATACCTTGAGATGTTCGTCCAGCTGGTCCACCAAGCTGGTGAAAAACTCGTAAGCATCCTGCTGCTCTCTGACATACAGCTCCTTGTTCCACATCTTAAAGATCTGCAAACAGTTCACATTTCCATGAATATCAACAAAAATCCACCAAACTCTCCAAAACTAAATCTCCAGCTTCAGTTTTTCACCTTCCAGAAGTTCTCTGGCACGTAGTACTGCAGCTTGCTCTCCATCAGGTGACCAAACAAAGACTGGACCTGATAGAAGACGCTCTCCTCAGGCTGGTCTGTGTCGTCCTCGATGGAGAGGAAGGCCTGAAACACAAACATTTAGCAAAGGGTCGAATCAGAGCGTCTTCCCTGATCTGAATGAGGCTGAGGAAGCTGAGCTGGAGGATGGTTGTACCTCAGGCAGGCCGGGCTGCATGTAGAGCTGCTGGAACACAGCGTTCATGTAACACGTCGCTCCGCCGTTTTTCAGCCCGACAAAACCAGAGACGGAGCGGCTCTCCACAGGAGGTAAATACTGCAGACAGACGATGATTACAAAATGAACTCAAATAAAAAACATGTAGCCTGAATAGTTTGAAGGCGGCCATCTTACATCGAACTCCTTGCAGAGCGATGGATCGGACTGGTGGTGCATGGAGAGGAGCTCTCTGGTGATGAGGCGCAGGTTGGAGAGGGAGCTGTCTGCCAGCATTACCAGGACCTCATAGGCGGCCAGTCTGCTGCTGGCGGTGCTGCACCTGACCGCACGCACACACACACACACACACACACACACACACACACACACACACACACATCCTGTCAGTCCTACTGCTAACTGCAGGCATAGCCCACAGGGCTTTAGTGCTGTTTCTGGTCCTCATAGCTGGTAAGGTCGTGTAGAACAAAGCTATCTCCCAGTAATAACACCCTAATGTGGGGCGTGCTTTGGTGGCGTAGTGTTAGCGCATGTACGGAGGCGGCTAACCCTCTGTAGCATGTCTCCCTCTCTCTTTCCCCCTTTCCTGTCCGCCTACTGTCAAATAAATGAGACACCACCAGACCAGCATACCCAGAAGTAACAACCCATTTATCCCTTTAGTTTATACATTTAGTTTATCCCTTGAATTTTGTACAAAAAAAAAAACTTTAAACTACCTGGACGGGCGTGTATCCCTTCAGTCATGTCCAAAAAAGCGATTTAATTACTTATTTTTTGGAGTTATTTTGAAGAGTATGGCGATCTGACCTAATTTTTTATTTTTTTTTGTACATGACTAAAGGGAAACACGCCCATTCAGGTAGTTTACATTTTATTTTTTGCACAAAACCAAAGGAATAAACGCAAATCTGACGTTTTGCGGATGCGTATTTACTGCGGGTTGCTGGTCTGACGAGGTATGCTCATCTGACGGAACATTGTAAAAACTGAAATAACACTAAAATGTGTGTGTGAACCCTTATAAATGCCACAGTGACTAAAGCAGAGTAGGGCTGCAACTAAGGATCATTTATTAAATCGATTAATCTTTTGATTCTTTTTTCAATTAATCGATTAATAATTGGCTGGCAAAAGGTTAAAGAAGATATTTTACAGATTTAAACCTGGTGAAACTAAAACATTTATACTTCTGGAGTTCTAGATAGAGCATACTGATAGACAAAAATGTTTGTTTTTAAAAAAAATCCTAAATGCAAAATGTATATATATATATTAGGGCTGGGCGATAATTCAATAACGATATATATCGATCGATAGACGTGTGGCGCAATAGAAAAAAAGAGGGTCGATAAAAGTTCGATAAAAAAGAAACGCAGTTTTCCTTCCTTCTCATTGTAGCCTAGCATGTAGCTTTATGCTAGTCACTGCTTCCTCCCAACCAATCACAATCGCGGACCCAGGCACGCCGTCACAAAGCGCCGCCCTCTCAAACCACAACACAGAGCACATGAAGATGCAGCAAGGAGAGTCGGAGGAAATTGTTCCAAAGAAGGGTTTTTGTAGTTCGGCAGTCTGGCAGTATTTCGGTCATGGCAAGTCGGACCAAAAACAAACCACAGTCATCTGGAAAATGTGTCGGGAACCAGTGAAACCAGTCTGATAACGCAACCAACTTTTTTTTTTTTTTTTTTTTTGTCATCACAGCCGCAGGAGTTATTTATTTGTTATATTTATTTTGGTCACTTTTCTGGTCACTTTAGTTTATTCTTTGTCAGTATTTAATAACATAACTCAGGTCTCTTAAGTTATTTTTCTTTAAAACAATTCTGTTATGGTTAAAAAAGTTGGTTAAATAAAGATTTAATTCGAAGTCTGTGTTTGTGTTTTTTATTAAAATTAAATCATTTAGCAATATTATAAAAAGTCCAGGCAGAGCTGCACATAAAATATGGTTTCAAATCTTTTCAATAATTATCGATATCGATCAATATGCATTTTTTTTTTATCGATAAGCTTTTTTTCTATATCGCCCAGCCCTAATATATATATATATATATATATATATATATATATATATACACACAATTTTTTGTATAACTACTGCTCTGAGTAGGTTGCTTTATCGCCTAAAGCCATGTTTTACAGTCTCTATACTTCAGTTAATGATTAATCAATTTCTAAATTAGTTGACGATTATTTAAATAATTGAATAATCAACTTTTAATAGCATTTTGGGACAGTATCTCTAAGCTCATGGATAACAAGGCTTATGCCGTTCCTAAGCATCCCAAGATGTTTTGGTTTGGGTCTGCTACCCATGGAGTTATTTCAAAAATTCTGATGATTGCATCGAATAAGGCTATAAGAAAGTGGCTTATAAAAGATCTGCTAGAGGCTACTGAAGAAATACATTCATTGGAGAGACGGACGGACTTTCTATGCCTAAAAGGACGTGTTTTTATACAACGCTGGTCTAAATGATGAGCAGATCAGGGTAAGAAAACATTTACATCCCTAAATCAGAGTCAAACTCTATATCAGGCAACAAACATGGCCAGTAAAGCTGATGCTGAAGTTAGGCAGGCTGGCTCTGCTATATCTCTCTACCTGCATGCTCTGTTCAGGGTGTAAGAGGTCAATTATACCAAAAAGTTTACATCTAAAGCTTCAGGGTCACCACAGAAAAACTCAAAGCTAACAACAGATTTATTTTTTACTTTTAAAGCTTAAATCTTTTAACGGCGTTCAACTCCAAAAGAACGACAATTGTTTGATTTAAACTGCAGAGCACAATGCTAGCGGTGTGTGTGGAACTCAATGTGAGCTCTGCTACTCACTGGTGGTTAAATATGTTATTCTCTAGACAAATAAAAAATAAGAAGCTAATATTTTCCACCCATAGACTCAGATTGAAAACTTAATCGATGGTAAAGGCTGATGCAAGAAACTTATCAGCAAACCAGATTTTCCAGGCGTATTATGTTCATTTTAGGTTCTGCTAAATCCAGTTTCTGGTGTTTTTTTTATGGAGTGTAAAACTTTAGGTTCTCACCAGAGAAAAAAGCTTAGAGTAAAACAGCTATGAAGGATATTTTGAAAAGATCTAATTTGCTGATTTATTCATAGCCTGGAAATAATGGAGGTTCTTAGTTTTACTCAATTTAATAAATGGAGGAAAAGCTTGAAATGTTTTAAGATGTCTTAAGATGTTTTCTATTTGATCTCGTTTTTTTAACCTTTAGAGCATTTTGACAATCAGGCGTTTTCATCAGAAATAATTTGTGTAATTCTGGGTGTGTTAATGATGCTTTATATCACAGGTCAGACAGGAGAGAAAATGATTAATGGCGTCCATACTTGGGGTGGAAGTCGTGGCTCGGGGCCGGAGATGGCGTGGGGTTGGAGCTGTTGATGATGATGCGAGAAGCTCGGAACAGGAAGTCATCAAGCAACTGCTGGATCAGAGACGGACCTGGAGGGAGGAGAGTTTTTACAATGAGATGATGTCAAAATAAAAAAATTATGCGCCTGAAAGCTAGGAGTGGGCGATATATCGAATATATTCGATGTATATCGAGCATGGGCGTAGGTTTGCATAGGGACCATAGGGACATGTCCCTA